CATGCCCGAAGTCGTGCAAATGCCACCCCAAAACCCCTCTCTCTACGTCCGATGCGGTTTTGCAGGTTTCAGTGTATTGGGGGGGGGGGGGGGTGGGGGGATACCGAGAAAAACGCAACTTTTTCCAGTCTGCTCACAAATCCTCTGCGGCAAGACGTCCGGGCGGAGCGTTTAGGGTTTAGGGTTTAGGGCTTAGGGCTTCGGGCTTAAGGGCTTAGGATTTGCTAGGGCTTTGGCGTTTCTGGAATTTGTGGCTTGGGAGGGCTGGGCTCAAGGGCCTAGGGTGTTTCGGGATTTTGGGCTCAGGGCTATTTCCACTTCCAACCCCCCAAACTCCTGGGTTCCCCCCTAAGATAGGCTGAATTATCCCTAAATAGCCTTTATGATATGGGGGGGGGGATCTAAGGGTAGTATAGAGGGGGCTACTAGCAGTAGGGGAACCCAATGATAGACTCTCCAAGAGGCTTCTGCCAGTTGCAGCGGGCACGCCGCCGCAATGAGACCGGCAAACCGACGCAGGTCTGGGCACGCCAGGCACTGATGCGCTTGCAATCGAAGACTCGGCCATCATCCCCGCCATCCTCTAAACGACTAGACGCAAGAGTAACCTCAAGGGTTTAGGGTTTAGGGTTTAGGGTTTAGGGTTTAGGGTTTAGGGTTTAGGGTTTAGGGTTTAGGGTTTAGGGTTTAGGGTTTAGGGTTTAGGGTTTAGGCCCCCCCCCCCCCAAAAAAAAAGGGAATAAGGGCCTACTCAGGGTCCGAGATGAAGGTTTAGGATTCCTTTTCGGTGCGCTTGTTGTCTGCGTGGCAAGCCTTTTTAAAACATGTTGATGCATGCGCATGTGACCGGAAGCACAATGGCTGCAGAACACACAGGCTTCTCAACTGGCTCCCCTGCCCCTCAACCCTAAACTAAACCCTAAACCCTAAACCCTACACCCTAAACCCTAAACCCTAAACCCTTGCTACAGATTCCTGAGTGGCCCCTTCTGGAACCCTGAAGGCCTCAGCGCTGCATCTCGAGAGGATCCTAGACTTAACCCTAGAAACCCTAAAACCTCAGGAATCTGGGTTGGGGTTTGGGGTTTGGGGTTTAGGGTTGAGGGTTTAGGGTTTAGGGTTTAGGGTTTAGGGTTTAGGGTTTAGGGTTTAGGGTTTAGGGTTTAGCGTTTAGGGTTTAGGGTTTAGGGTTAGGGTTTAGGGTTTAGGTTTTAGGTTTTAGGTTTTAGGTTTTAGGGTTTAGGGTTTAGGGTTTAGGGTTTAGGGTTTAGGGTTTAGGGTTTAGGGTTTAGGGTTTAGGGTTTAGGGTTTAGGGTTTAGGGTTTAGGGTTTAGGGTTTAGGGTTTAGGGTTTAGGGTTTAGGGACCTCAACTTGGGATTGTTTTGGGTTTAGTGGAGTAGGTTAGCACAAGTATAGGGCTTAGGGTTTAGGGTTTAGTGGTTTAGGCCTCTGAGGGTTAAGGTGTGAATTAGGTTTGACGTTTAGGGTTTCAGGTTGGGATTGGGATGTTTCCCCTTGTACTAACAGTCCTTAATAGGGATTCTCGTACCCATTGCTATAATCCCTACTAAGGACTGCTAGCAAACAAGGGGGAACATCCCAGACCATAACCCCTAAGACCTAAAACCCAAAGCCTTGAACCGTAAAGGCCGCGAAAACTCTTTGCAGACCTCCCTCTTTAAGGCTCCCAACCTAAAGAACCTACTCTAAACTGTATCACGCCTCCAACCCTAAACCCTGAACCCTGAACCCTGAACCCTGAACCCCAAACCCTACACCCTAAACCCTAACCCTAAACCCTAGCCCTAAACCCTAAACCCTAAACCCTAAACCCCCAACCCTAAACTCCAGAGAAGCTCATAAGGGGGGAGTCGCCTCCGCGCTCGCGTGGCTGAGCGCGAGGCTTCGCTTCACCTCGTCCACCTGGATTCCGGGCGACAGGGTTTAGGGTTTAGGGTTTAGGGTTTAGGGTTTAGGGTTTAGGGTTTAGGGTTTAGGGTTTAGGGTTTAGGGTTTAGGGTTTATTGTTTAGGGTTTAGGGTTTAGGGTTTAGGGTTTATTGTTTAGGGTTTAGGGTTTGAGCACGTTAAGGGATTCAGATTTGGCAGTTAGAATTCAGGTTTCACGGTTTGAGGTGAAGCATGGATCTAGGGTTCAGGGTAGGGGGGTTGGGCGGGCCTGCTTTAACTTCAGGTTTAGGACGGCCCTAAGCCCGAAACCCTAAGCCCTCGGCCCTAGGCCCTAGGCCCTAGGCCCTAAGCCCTAAGCCCTAAACCCTAAACCCTAAACCCTAAACCCCAAACCCTAAACCCTAAACCCTAAACCCTAAACCCTAACCCTAAACCCTAGACCCTAAACCCGAAACCCTAAACCCTAAACCCCATCTCGAGGCCCCGCGCTCGGTCCCGAAGCTCCTGCTCCGTGCGGCGGGAGGCGGAGCTCCTTCTCCAGGCTCTTAAAGCTTCAAGGGGGGGGGGGGGGGTTAGGGTTTAGGGTTTAGGGTTTAGGGTTTAGGGTTTAGGGTTTGGGGTTTGGGGTTTGGGGTTTGGGGTTTGGGGTTTGGGGTTTGGGGTTTGGGGTTTGGGGTTTGGGGTTTGGGGTTTGGGGTTTGGGGTTTGGGGTTTAGGGTTCAGGCTCTTATGGGGTTCCGGGTTCAGGGCTTTAGAGGTTTCAGGGGTTCGGGGGCTCTTGGGCCTTTAGGGAGCTGCTTGTGAACGGGGTGAAGGAATGGAGGCAGCTCGTGCGCCGGCTCATGCATAGATCGGCTTCTCATGGCGCTGAACCCTAAACCCCATTGAGACACTGGCGTTTAGGGCTTCAAGGATATTACGTCTTTAGGGTTTTGGGGGAAGTCGGCCGTGGGTTTCAAGGGCTTTAAGTGCTTAAGAGGGCTTGGGTTTAAGGGTTTACGGTTTAAGGATTTAGGGTCTCAAGACCCTTCCTGGATTCCTCGGCCGCGCTCCGGGTCCCCTTGCATCTTGCTCATCTTGCAGGGCATGACTCCGGCTCCCTTTTGCGGTCCTATATAGAGCAACCCACTCTTGTAACAAGGACCCTAAACCCTAAACCCTAAACCCTAAACCCTAAACCCTAAACCCCAATTTAGATAACCACCCATGTACCGCAGAGTTATGCGGGTGCACCGGTAAGGGGAGTCAGCTTTGGCTTTGGCAGCATTTTCCATGCGCCGCGCGCAGTTCATGTGACTGGAGAAAACGGTACGCTCCCAGCTGAAGCAGCTTACCTTACTTCTCCAGTTACCAAGGGGAAAACAGGTTAAGTTTGATCCTAAAGCCCAAACCCTAAACCCTAAACCCCAAACCCTGCACCCTAAACCCAAAACGTTTAAAGTTCAACTATTGGCTAGGTAAGTTACTTGATGAGAGGGTTGGCGAAGAGGAGCACCAGGGCGATGACCAGTCCGTAAATCCTTGGAGAGGATGTTAGGGTTTAGGGTTTAGGGTTTAGGGTTGAGGGTTGAGGGTTGAGGGTTTAGGGTTTAGGGTTTAGGGTTTAGGGTTTAGGGTTTAGGGTTTGGGGTTTGGGGTTTGGGGTTTAGGGTTTAGGGTTTAGAGTCGTTGATCGAAGCTGCAAATTGTTGTGCTCTACTGTTGCTGCATTTCTCTATGCCGGGTTTCTTTCTAAAGTAAGCTCACCTCTACAATACCCTGATTCCTTGTCAAAGTCCCCGGTCCAAGTGAGAGGGCGTAGCAGAATGTTGAACCCCTAAACCCTAAACCACCAAACCCCAAACCTTGAGCTCTGAACATTCAACCCTAACCCTAAACCCTAAACCCTTAAAGCCCGAAACCCTAAACCCTAAACCCCAAACCTCCCCAAAGACTTTCTGTCACGGTCCCTCAAGCTTCTCCCCTGGGCTGCTGTCTAGTGTGCCTTCAAGATGCCCTTGACATGCAATTCATGGCTTAGGGCCTTCTAGGGCTTAGGGTTTAGGATTTCGGGTTTAGGGGTTTAATTAGGGGTTTAGGGGTTTAGGGGTTTGGGGGTTTAGGGGTTTAGGGGTTTAGGGGTTGAGGGGTTTAGGGGTTTAGGGGTTTAGGGGTTTAGGGGTTTAGGGGTTTAGGGGTTTAGGGGTTTAGGGGTTTAGGGGTTTAGGGGTTGAGGGGTTTAGGGGTTTAGGGTACTGCTGCTACCCGCAGCTGCCACCCGCAACCGTCAGAGGTACACCTGTAAGCAGGCCCTAAATACAGAAACACCCTTTACCAGAAGGCCCTAAACCCTAAACCCTAAACCCTAAACCCTAAACCCTAAACCCTAAACCCTAAACCCTAAACCCTAAACCCTAAACCCTAATCTACTTTGCCCAAGCTTCGTCAGGGACTCCATGAAGGCCAGGGACAGCAGCAGGACGCCCCGCAAGTCGTCTGCCACCTGTAGCTCAATCTCCGCTGCCCGGGTTTCGGGTTTAGGGTTTAGGGTTTGGGGTTTGGGGTTTGGGGTTTAGGGTTTAGGGTTTAGGGTTTAGGGTTTAGGGTTTAGGGTTTAGGGTTTAGGGTTTAGGGTTTAGGGTTTAGGGTTTAGGGTTTAGGGTTTAGGGTTTAGGGTTTAGGGTTTAGGGTTTGCACGTTTAGGGTTTAGGGTTGCAGGTGGGGGGTCAGCCTGGCTAGGGTACGTTCAGAGAGTTGCTACGTGGGAAAGCGAGCTTTCAAAACAGGACCGAAATTCAGGGGTCCTTTGGGGGTTCCTACAGGAAGTAGTATAGTGTCTCCGGGCAGGGGGGGGGGGGGGGTTGTAAGGGGGTCCCCTGTTTTGGGACATTCCCGAAGAAGCATGTGGAATATATATATATATATATATGGGCGGCTGTCAAAACTATGGTCCCTTTTGGGGTCCCTAGTTCAATACGGCACCTAATATTTGGGGTACCCCAAAAGGGATCATGATTGTAACAACCACCCATATAGATACACACACAATTTAGCTTTTTTCAGAAAAAAAAAACCCACAAACTCAACCTCTAAGATACGCAAGGAACGCCTCAAGCCCCAAGACCTCCAAACTCCAAACTCCGGACGGCCGCCTCGGGCTGGCGCGAGATGCCATCGATGCACCGGCCGGAGGCGATGCCCTGGCCCACTCCCGAGCCGATGGCGGCAAGGCCGATGGCAAAGCCTGAACAGGGTTTTGCGGGTTTTGTTTTCCTTGATTTTGGGGGTTTTTTGTATGTGGGGTGGGGGGTTGGGGGTTGGGGCTTTGGGTTCCTTTGTGGGTGCTTCCAGGCCTGCACCGATGGCGCTGAGAGCAGGGATCCACACAGCACCCTCATCCGCAAAGGCCGCCTGCAGGCAACCGACCCTTAAACCCGAGCCTCAACCCTGTACATGTGAAATAGGGGGGGGGGGGGGGGGGGGGGGGGGAGAGGGGGGGCCCTCTTCATTCAGAATGAGTACTTTGGGCTGTGTATATGATGATTCACACAGAACCAGCTACTCTTGTGTGGTTAGAGGGTGGGGGACTTGAGGGCTGGAGGGCAAAGCCCCTAAACCCCAGTGTCAAAAAACTCCCCTAAACCCTAAACCCTAAGCCCTAAGCCCTAAACCCTAAACCCTAAACCCCCAAACCCATTTCGCCGGCAGGAGGAAATGTTGGGGCTTGGGCGTTCGGGGCTCTTCGCTCTGCTCCCTGGAACTTAATTGGGAGCTCGCTTGGAGGTTCATGGTACTTATTAACCAATAAAAGCCCCTTGTAATCCCCGTAAGTGCCCTAAATATGGTCATAAAATTGGGTTATCAGTACACTTAGCATTGGGTTAGTAAGTACCCTGAAGCTCCAAGCAGGGCGGCTCTTTCAGGGAACGGCCTGGGGGGCCACCATGAGGCTGGCGCTGAGCGCCGCAGTGGTTCCGGACACGCTGGGGGCCGACACTGGGGAGCTTCGCGGGGAGGGCACGAAGGCGCTGAAGAGCGCCCCGCAGCTCAGCAGCACCGCACCGGTCAAAACAAAGCTGCGCGCCATGTCTGCGAAAAGTCGATCTGTTCAGGGCTCAGCGGTTGCTATATGACGGAGCTTTCCCCAGCTTGAGCCCAGGCGCCGGCGCGGGGGCCTCCCAAGATGCGGGCCGACGCCAAACCCAACCGACAAAGGCGCTAAGAGCCTCATATGAAGTAGGGTTTATATTTCTTGTATCCCCAAAAGGACAACCAATACATACACTCACCAATATTAAAAAGGAACCGTATATAACCTCACCAAAAACAGTAATATAAACCCTACTTCATATGAATCCTAAGGCATGGGCATGTGTCAGCTGCCAAGGGCCCACCCCTGAACAGAAAGCTTGAGCCCTAAGCACCAAACACACCCGCCCGCCCGAAAACTGGAGACTTAAACCCTAAACCCTAAACCCTAAACCCTAAACCCTAAACCTTAAACCCCAAACCCCAAACCCCAAACCCCAGACAACAACACCCAAACCCCGAGACCATGAATCCAGCTACTTGAGTTGACGAAGCCTTCATGGGTAGTCATAAGCAGGGCTATAAAGGTCTTAAGTACCTTAGGTATAGCTACCCTACTTATCACCCTTCTTATTCCTAGCCATGAACCCTACACCCTAAACCCTAAACCCTCCAGGTAATTTTGAGCTGAAGCCGCCCAGCACCCTGAGCCCCAAAGAGGCTCCTGGCCGCTGGCACCATGGCACCGCCCAGGACTCGGAGGGTTTAGGGTTTAGGGTTTAGGGTTTAGGGTTTAGGGTTTAAGGTTTGGGGTTTAGGGTTTAGGGTTTAGGGTTTAGGGTTTAGGGTTTAGGGTTTAGCGTTTAGGGTTTAGGGTTTAGTGTTTAGGGTTTAGGGTTTAGGGGTTTGGGGTTTAGGGTTTAGGGGCTTCGGGTTTCGGGTTTCGGGCGTTGCGGGATTCGGAGGGTTCGGGCTTAGGGTGTAGGGTTTCGGGTTTATGGTTTAGGGTTTGGGGTTTGGGGTTTAGGGTTTTGAGTTTTGGGATTAGGTTTAGGGTTCAGGGTGTGTCACATGCTCCGCGCCCACCGCCATGCAGAGCACGCGTTGTGGTGTGCACCAAGGCTCGCGTTTTCTACCAACCCGACTACCCAACCCAAGCTCTGCCAACACGCTCTCTTCTTCCTCGGGTTTAGGGCTTAGGGTTTAGGGTTTAGGGTTTAGGGTTTAGGGTTCAGGGTTTAGGGGTTTGCCCTCAGGTTATGCAAAAAGCAGGGTCTGGGGCTTCGACGCTTTTCCTCCCCCGGAGCTTCCTCCGCATCTGGTCCTGGGGTTGCTTTCGGGCTTCTAGGGCCTCGGGGGTTTAGGGTTCTTAGGGTTCTTGGGGTTCTTAGGCTTTAGGGTTTAGGGCCTCGCGGGTTTAGGGTTCTTCGGGTTTAGGGTTTGTAGGGCCCAGGGCCAGGGTGTGCCCTCAGGGGCGGACAGGATGTGGGTTTAGGCTTTTTTTCTCACAACCCTATGCACCTTTTGGGTTGAGGGTTGAGGGTTTAGGGTTTAGGGTTTAGGGTTTAGGGTTTAGGGTTTAGGGTTTAGGGTTCTCTGGGGTATTGTGGAGGTGTCGGCATACAGAAGTCTGTGTCTCAGGGGTACTTGGATTTTGGGATGTGGCCATCGATGCACGACTCGAGTTTTGCTTTGGTGCAGTTGTTGTGAACATGAGTGCTTGGGAAGCCCTAAAGCCCAAAGCCATGGTCCCTAAAGACCTAAACCCTAAACCCTAAACCCAGAAAACGCTAAACCCTAAACCCTAAACCCTAAACCCTAAACCCTAAACCCTAAACCCTAAACCCTAAACCCTAAACCCTAAACCCTAAACCCTAAACCCTGACCTATTCCTGAACCTTAAACCCTAAACTCTACGACCCTAAAACCCTAAACCCTGGACCCTAAACCCTAAACCCCAAACCCTAAAGCCTACGACCCTAAAACCCTAAACCCTAGACCCTAAACCCGAACCCTGAACCTTAAACCCTAAACCCTAAACCCACAAACCCCAAAACCTGAAGCCCCCGAGTCCTGATGGGGCCGCAGCAAGGATCGCCTCCTGCTGTTCTTTGGCAGCCTGAAGTGTAGGTTTACGGTTTAGGGTTCGGTTTAGGGTATAGGGTATAGGGTATAGGGTTTAGGGTTTAGGGTTTAGGGTTTAGGGCTTAGGACTTAGGGCTTAGGGCTTAGGGCTTAGGGCTTTGGGCTTAGGGCTTCGGGCTTAGGGCTTAGGGCTTGGGTTTAGGGTTTAGGGTTTAGGGTTTACCTTATCCCTTAACGAGCTGTAGATATGGGGTACCTCACTTCCCCAATTCCCTACTAAACCCTCAACCCTTGACCTATAAACCCTACCCTCAGAACTGGTAAGGAGATGCCGCGGCCTTGTTCTCCATCTCCTTCAGTGCTTCCCACTCTCGAATCAGGCTGGAATCGACCTTGCGGAGGGTTTAGGGTTTAGGGTTTAGGGTTTGGGGTTTGGGGTTTAGGGTTTAGCATTTAGGGTTTAGGTTTTAGGGTCTAGGGTTTAGGGTTTATTGTTTTAGGGTTTTAGGGTTTAGGGTAATTTAATTACTTGTGCAGCAACCTGCAGCTCCCCAAAGAGGTGCAAGGCACCTCTGCCCGCCGGGGGCCGAGCTTGGAGTATGGTCTCGCGGAGCTTAGCCTTCAATGTCTGACACTGGCGCGTGCATCATGGACAACCCCCCAAAAGAGCCCAATACCCTCAACCAAGGAACAAGACCTTAAATCATACTAAGGGAGACCTATATAACTTAAGGCAGACTTCATACTTTCGGGCTCTTTAGGTCTGCTAGACAGCCGCAAGACAGGCGGACATTCAGACGGAGACAGACGTAGACCGAGACAGCGATGGACACTCCCGCATGTCACCTGTGCAGCACGCACATTGGGCTCGGAGATGTCCGCCAGCCGGAGAATGCGATACACATCGGCGAGGTAGCGGAGCCTCAGCCGTCCGTGGAAGCAGTGACAGCAGAGGCTCTGGGGCACAATGGGGCACGCTAGACAAGAAAGGGTGTAGGGTAGGGTTGAGGGGTGAGCGTTCTAAAGTACAGATGGTGGGCAACTTCTTTGAATCACAATGCCTGAGCACAGGAAAACTTTGCTCTGTGGGTGCGCTGACCACGAACCCTTAACTGGATCAACTCTTCCTAAGTCGTGCCCAACACGGGACACATATTGTACCATCACAGTACACCCCGAAGAAGACCCTTGCAAAGCAGGTCATTTATTCTCCCGCTTGGTTTTCCGCACTCAAAGCCGGAAGTCCTTCACGTAAACCCTGCACTGAACGGCATGTCGAAGGTATCGTCCACATATCAGAAGACCAGAATGTCTCCTAAGAAGCAACACGCATGTCCCCTGCAGAGCTGTCCCTGAGACCCAACATCCCTTGACTCCCCGAAGTGCCTAAACGCGAAACCCTCAGATGTTCCCAACCCTAAACCCTCATAAACACCAAGGCCCTGAACACCAACCCAAAAAAACAACCAGACTCCAAAACCCTAAACCCCTAAAACCCCTAAATCCCCTAAAACCCCTAAAACCCCTAAAACCCCTAAAACCCCTAAAACCCCTAAAGCCCCTAAAGCCCCTAAAACCCCTAAAACCCCAAAAACCCCAAAAACCCCTAAAACCCCTAAAACCCCTAAAACCCCTAAAACCCCTAAAACCCCTAAAACCCCTAAAACCCCTAAAACCCCTAAAACCCCTAAATCCCCTAAAACCCCTAAAACCCCTAAAACCCCTAAAACCCCTAAAACCCCTAAAACCCCTAAAACCCCTAAAACCCCTAAAACCCCTAAAACCCCTAAAACCCCTAAAACCCCTAAAACCCCTAACGCCCCTAAAACCCCTAAAACCCCTAAACCCCACCGCCCCCAGACCCCGAGGCCACGGCAGATTCCCCTCGGAGGTGACCTTAAGAGCTATCGAACTGAGGGCTCCTTTTGCCGCCCTAAAGAATTGAGGAGCCGGTTTAGGGTTTAGGGTTTAGGGTTTAATGTTAACCTAGTAATAATAAACCCCCCCCTCCCCCCCCCTTCAATCAAACCCCCCCAAATAGAGTGAGGCCCCTTTGAATAAGGATTCCTTTCCTTAGAGAGAATTAGAGAGGATCAGAGAGAATCACTCAGGATTCCTTTCCTTAGAGAGAATTAGAGAGGATCAGAGAGAATCAGAGAGGATCAGAAAGGAAAACGGACCCCCCCAAAAAAAACAAGCCCCGACTGGCGTACTTTATTTCCAGGGCTTTATTATTGCGGCCGGGACACCTGGCGTACTTTAATGTTAGGGGCTTTAGTAATACTAGGTTAACATGAGGGTTTAGGGTTTAGGGTTTAGGGTTTAGGGTTTAGGGTTTAGGGTTTAGGGTTTAGGGTCTACATCTTTCGTATCTCATTTTTGTGGAGCAGCTTCTTCTGCTCCGTATGATTGATCTTTCGGTGACGAATCTTCGCGGATGAAACTTTCGGTGGCGAAGAACATATATGTTGCAGCACCTTCTCCCATAGGGACCGTAACCTACCAAACTAGCACATAAAAACAAAAACCGCGCAAGGCAATCATTTTCAAGAGCACACGGTTTAGTGTTTGAAGTTTACATGTCAAAAGCCCCCGAGTCAGGAAGGGGTAACATCCCTGAATCACACCTAACCCAAAATCCTGAATATTAACCCCGGAGCCCTAACCCTCTAACCCCAAAAAACTGAACCCCAAACCTCCAACCCTGCCCGCACTTTAAAAACCCTTGTACACCTAAAAAAACCGAAAACCGAAACTCTATACCCCTCCCCTCCCAAACAGAATCCTAAGCCCCAATTAAGCCCTAAACACTCCCACCTAAACTGCCTACACCGAAATGTTGGCCATATCCCTAAACCCTAAACCCTGAACCCTAAACCCTAAACCCTAAACCCTAAACCCTAAACCCTGAACCCTAACATATACATGGGTGCGCGCGCCTCTCGGGCAGGGCTCTGCCCCGGCGCATAAACC